ACTGTTTCTTTATATTCTCTCACCTGCTAACTGAAAGTAGGCACTCCCCTAACCTAGTGAACTCCATCCAGTTACTGTTTCTTTATATTCTCTCACCTGCTAACTTAAAGTAGGCACTCCCCTAATCTAGTGAACCTCATCCACTTAATGTTTCTTTATATTCTCTCACCTGCTAACTGAAAGTAGGCACTCCCCTAACCTAGTGAACCTCATCCACTTAATGTTTCTTTATATTCTCTCACCTGCTAACTGAAAGTAGGCACTCCCCTAACCTAGTGAACTCCATCCATCTCAAACCAGGTAGTTTTATCACTAGATAAGTGTGTTAAATTGTTGAATTACAAAAAAAGCAATAATTGTTTACTTCTACCACAATAGCATGCTTCAAATATTTTCAGTCTACTGAACAGTGGTAACTCTTAGTTTTACAACTTATTTTTATCAATAAAATAGTTAAATAAATAGCAGTTAATGCTATATAAAGTGCCTGCTTCATTAGTATTAAAATACAATTAGCTATTACAAGCTACATTGGAATCTGCAGTTAGATTATGTAGAACTAAACAGCAATATAAACTCAAGAGTCTGAAAAGATGATACAGCTTTAAGCTCATAACATTACACTGGTTTTTGATTGAATTTTAGAAACCAATATAATTCAACACTATGCTTATCCCCGATTTCTTCTTTAATATTACCCTAATTCAAACTGAAGTAGCTTAAAATTACAATTCAACTGTTTTTCAATCAAACACAATCTATACAGGGTGCAGCATAAAATGTAACATTCATTCCTAGGCTGAGCAACTATAAAATGTTAGTGTTATACAGTAGTATTTTAGGATTCATGACATTAAAGTTGTTAAAATTCACTACATGCAATACTTCACAAATTACTTCTTTAAATGACATTAGAAAAGCTTTACCTGAAGTAATTCCTATTTTATTACTTTTTATATTTCATTTAAATAATTCATAAGTTACATTTTAAATACTACATGTACTCTTACTGCTTTAAAAGAGTAATTTCCATAAACTGACATATTTCTTAGTTATAATTTCTGAATGCTGTTCTTTAGAGATCAGTTAGAGTATAGGTACACACTGACTAGTGAGATAGCATCCAAAAAATGTATATACTTTTACTTAACATGCTTTTATGATATCAACATAATATCCACTTATTATTCTTATTATTTTACACACACTGTATGAACTAGCTATTACATCCAGACACAATCACTATTTGATCAACCAAATCACTTGCCTAATTTGAAAATCACATTTCTACATATACATGGATCTGATATTTCCTGGTTTAGAGAAAGGAAATCATTGTTCTGGACCATTCCAGCACTAGAAAAAAAAAATCTGTGTTCTGTCACATGATAGTACTAGAACAATGAAATCATGGAATTGGTCCAGGCTGACATTAGAACAAAAAACCCAAGAATGAAAGACACTACAACAAAAATATTGGGGTCTGACCCAGTCCAGTATTAAAATGAAAAAACTAAGGTTTTGGCTTGATCTAGCACAAGAACAATGAAAATAGAATATGACCCATACAAAAGTAAGACTCTTGTCCACTCTCGAGTTTGGCTTACAAAAATATAATGTTTTCAAATCAAAGAAGCACTCGAGCCATATTTTAATGGGAGCCATGATCCTGAAACTATACAACAATTTTATAAAAGCATCACAGCTATGCTGAATGTCAAGCTTCCATGTGAAAGAAACAATGATTATTGTTATTTGTTAAAACTATTTTAAAAGAAAGACTAATAAAAAGACCTTTTATATTCCACATAAAATCTGACAAAACACAGGTATGGACAAACATGCTTAAACTCCAGCTAAACACAATTTGATTTGCTCATTCATACTATAAAGCCCATATAGCATAATGTCCATATTAACCCTTTCTCATATTGCATGCCATGCAATTCTAAAACTGATACTCATACTTTAAAATATATGCCAATATGCATAAAAATATGTTCTGTCACATGAAGCTTATAATTCTTACCTATTACCTTCAATTTTTTGAATCACTTCTCAAGAAACCACAACATTTATTTAGGTTTATGATTTATCTTTTGTCTATTCAAATTGGTCACTGCATTTCCACTAGGATACTTCTCTCTCCCACCATTATGGTGATCACTCACATTTCCAGCCCTTCCATTCAGGAATGCTTGATTTTATAAGAAACTAAAACTATCTCCTGTCCAAATCTCATCCCCATTAACATGTTTTGCTTTAATGTTGATCTTATAATGTGGGAAAACATTAGCAATGCATCAGTTCACTATATTTAAATTACTGTATTTATTGTTTTTTAGTAGCCATAACACCAAAAATTGAGGAAATTCATAGTCTTAACAAATATATTGCTTTCATTTCGGTTTCTTAAATGACCCTATGTTCACAACTCATAGTTTACTTTTTAAATTGAGACTGTTAATGTTTCATAACACATCACTCCACCAATCCTAAAAAAAGATGGATGTCTATGCTTTTCTTGCAAGCACTTATTATGAATCACAAAGAAGGGAGGTGACAGTGACGAAACACAACACAGCTTTATATATGAACTAAATAACAAATCTCCCAGTAATACTCTGTGTGTGAGTGTGTTCATCAGTGACAAATTCTTTACTGTGTATATTGTTGTAACTATCGACCAGAGGTAAAATTCTCAAAAAAAAAAGTAGAGATACTCAGCTGGATGAAGTGGACCTGTTTTTGAAAAAAAAAATCTACATGTAACCATAAAAAATGACAAAGCAGCTCAAATAAGTCCCAGTACTAGTATCACCTTAAAAAATAAGTTCTGGTTCTCAGTACCAGTGAGTACCAGCAGAATTTCACCCCTGCTAGGGACAACAACACATTCTATACAAGCATGTTTATCCAAGAAAGTAAACTTTTAAACAAGCAGGAAAGAGTTTCCTATAATAATATTTGAGGGATTTAGATAACACTAAAAATATTAAACATACACCAAAGTTTTTACACAAAAATGTTACACATCAATATGTAGAGACAGCAATATGACAACAGAAAACAAATAACTTTATGAGATACAGTTACCTTACATTGTTTGTATTACAGTCACCTAAATGTTATTTTATTACATTTTGGCACAACAGTAGTTCTCACAAACAACAAGGCTCTATATGCAAAGTATTAAAATTTAAAATTATAAGATAGTCATTAAATGATTTGTACTTTTCATTTGATTAGCTTACAAGTATTTTAAAATAAGTATAATTACATATTAAATCATTGTGTTATTTTTGGCTTAAAATCATGAACTTTTGCCCATTCAATAAAGTTTATACTGCAGCAATGTTAGTTGTGTTCTCAATCTAGTGTCATTTGCAAGATAACAAAGGTTGTTTTGATATGCAAATGCATAATAATACGCATAAGAAATGATACTACTAAAATCACTACTTATGAGAATAACATGAATAAATGCACACAAACAAAGCCTTGCTGTAATATATGCTGTTATTTGGTTCAGTTTTCTAGAGGAAATCTCATTTGTTGTTTGAATGTAAGTGGTCAGCAGGAAAACCATTAAGGTACTTTTCTATGACATTGACCTTACTTGCATAGGTGGGGATAAAAGCGAATACCATGACCTTTTACAGAGTGACATTCAGTATGGTGTTATGTATTTGATGTCACAGTTATCAACTATTCATTTTATCCTACACTGTTGATTAAGCAAGGTTCCTGATAAAAGAGAGAAAATACCAGATACAGTATTCAGGGATACTGAAAAAAATGTCACTATGCATTACAGAGGTTCTAGAAGTTATGAAAATGCAATTTACAAACTGTACAATGGACAAAAGTATTTTTATTATTCACATGAACATCACCTCACCCTCTTATCTGTAACAGTTTGAGTCAGAACGGCATCATCAGTTCACAGATATATCTTAACTACAAATGCTTTCTTGACACAGATTTTTTCTAAACAAAGAGGTTTGTACATTTTACTAAAAGATTTCCACATTTCATATAGATACATGAAGTAAGTTTGGAATTACAGTCAACATTCCTTCTTCAGTACGGGGTTAGTCCATTGGACCAACCCTATAGACAATTGGTAAGATAGGGTCAACAAGCTTCAGCAGCTCTGTGCACAAAAGTTTAACATCATGGTTATTTTAAAGCCAGTTTCTATGTGTTTTTTTTTAAATCATAAACAATAGTTGTTCCCATGAATGCTAAGTGCTACTGGTAAGATAATCAGGGGATCCTTCAGAATATTCAACACTAAAACATCCTACATAAAAAAATAACTGAACGTGTATACCACCAAACACTTGAAAAGGATTTTAGAACTGTTAGTAGTAATATAAAATTTAGAAGAAACATAGGTTTTAGCTCAAATTAGCAATTAAAGTACACACACCTATATTCTTCAAAGTCAATGAAAAGCATCCAACTCTTAATATACATTAGTTCTAAACCAAATGAAAGAAAATAAGATCATTATGAAGGCTAACTCAAAGTTTATTAAATCTTAACTAGCTCTTAAACAATGAAAGAAAAAAACTTGTTCTTTTTCACTTTTTGATAAAATTCATACTCTGTCTAATGCCCAGTCAGAGTGTATCTAAAATGCACAACTCGACATACAATCAACCTTCCCTATGCATATCACAAATACTACATAGAAGCAAAAAAAGTTACAACTATTTGGATGTCAGAAATGACATACACCTTGCAACAAAAACTTATATATAATGACTTAGTATCTCTGCTCTGTCAAACCAACAGAAGTGGATTTCACCAAACAAATGTGATGTTGATATTAAAGAACCCATTCAGGAGAAGAATGCATATTACTACATCCTTGATATCTAAATATCCTGACATCAAGATGATGGATAATCCTGTATCACATCCATCACTAATGTACATAAAAATTATTTTAACTCAAGGTTTGATGTATTTCTTACAGTTGTACAGAAATAACTCCACTACACTTATCACTATAGAGGAATAAGATGGCTTAAAATTATTTATTGTCCTTGAAGGAATGGATAATCTTATTACACTAGTGCAAAGAAACAGGGTTATCTATTCCATGACTAACTGAATACAACTTTGAAAGAGACTTACCAATATGTAGGATGAAAAGTATCCCTCTTAATGATTTCAAAATTAACCTTTCGGCTGAAAGAATATAAAATAAAATACTGTCACCACAGCTATGGTTCATTGTAAGTTTCTTCTTAAAGGGATCACAAGTTACTTGTGTATCTTCCTTCTTAAATTTTAGATCCAAACCATAAACATGTACAAAGTTGGAGAGCTCAAATATCTAAACCTTTATATTAAGTGAAAAACAAAACAAAAACATCATAACTCGCTGAAAGGCAACTCAAAACTGAAACACTGACAAACGTTACTCACATATTTACAGATACTAGGCATGAATAGTAATATAAAAGGTTAACCAACAATGCCTTTTTTTTTGTCGTTGTTTAAATGAGATAAGTACATGTGTATTACCACACATTATAACCAAAACATTTATATAACAAAAAACATATTCTCAAATACAGTCATATGTACGTGGTTGAAGAAATACATGGTTTTCTAACATAAAACTTTAATTTTGTATCATATCAAATAATGTTTTGGGCCAAAGCCCTTTATTGGGACACAAAATGTACAGATATTGGTGGTCTACAGATGTCTTTGTAATTTACATCCTGATGAAGGGCTTAGGCCCAAAATGTCATATTTGAAATTAAAAGTGTTTTTCATTTTTAAAATTCTTCCATCTTTGTAGCTTTTTTATTTACTATTGTATTTTATCCAGCAATTACTTAAATAAATTTAAACTTGTATGTACCAAGTGCAGTAATTTTGTAGTTAGCTATAGTATGTTTACTTTTAATTCTGAAAAGTTACCTAAAAACATACACTTGAAACAGTGTTATTGTGGCTTTTGAACCATAAAGAATTGTAGGAGTAGGAAAAGTAATATTTTTTTTATATGAAAAAAAAATGTTTAAACTGAAATATTAAAGACACACTATAAATGTATTAATTTGTATCAATGAATAATGCATGATTGTTAAAATTCTAAAACAAAATTTTAACAAACAGAAAAGATTTGACACATTGTTAACTTCATAAAACATATGGTCCAAATATACAAGTTAAAATATCAGGCACTTAAAACTGAAAAACTAAATTCATGTTAATGATAACCATATCTCTGAAAAGAATAAAACATAGTCTTAAACAAATAATCTAGCTTAAAAACAGAAAGGACAGTATTTTTATTAATTCCATCCTTTCATATACAGAAATCAGTTATATTCTACATCATTTTTAGACATTAGCTTCATCTTGCTTTGAGATGTGTCCAAACTACTTTGTGTGTTGATGTCAATCTTTATGATATCAGTTGGTAATCTTCTGGCACTATTACAAAAATCAGTGTGATTCCTTCATTTCAGTGCTAAAATATAAATATAAAACATTGTTATATGATTTACAAAAACTGTGTATCTTAGAGTTTAAGACAGGAAACTTACTAAAGGATTATCTATACAAATATACAAAACACTAACAATAATCTGTTCCAAAAGTAACCGATATTTTCTATTTTCCCAGATACAGAAATCAGTCTAGTCAGACATATTAATACACAATGTTAGAAAAGATTATTTAATTACAATTCTATTTTTCAACAGTACAGTAACTCAGGTTTAACAGCAGTATGATCAGACTTACACAGGAAAGGAACAAATATTTTTAGTTTCAAACAATTTACAAAATGCAAATTAACTATATTTAGAAATAATCAGGAAGTCTGTAACACTGCCTATGTAGGGATGGCTCAGATTGTTAATCAAAATTGTATTTTAAATATCTCCTAAATAGGTCATCAGAACTTTACAATAATATACAGTGTTTCTTTTTATAACAATATCTACGTAATAACTGAATCACAACTTCTGGAAATATTTATAAATATCAAAGTAATAAGTTTTAATTTCTTGTTCTTCTTTCTTCTGTTTCTTTTTTATTACATGATAACTCAAAACCCAAAACAATGGTGTCAACCAATTTCACTGAGGCAACAGTTTCAAACGAAGTATCTGCTTTTACAAGTATTATTAATAACAAGTAGTAATTAAAAAATATCATAATTCTAGGGTAAACAATGTTATTACCCCTAGAAGTTAGTTTCTTACAGAAATTTGGTGTTTCTAAAAAGCTTAAGTACAGGGTGAAATAGGAATTACCAGCTAATAATAGATAAACAATAAATATTACAGTTTGAATCTCATTGTATTTAGAACTTGGTTATAAATACAACCTTCCTATGTCTATTGAAACACTGTATTGAAAAAAACAAGTAAAGGAAAAACTTTTCAAAAACGGAAGTAAATATAGGGATGGCTAATATCATTCCTTCAAGCATAACAGGATAGTAGGGATGGCATTTGCATCATCCCTACATAATAGCACATGCAAGAATTAACATATAGCAATATCTATATATATATATAACTAATCAATCACAATTGAGTTTAATTTATCCTTTTTTTGTCTGTTAACATTCCACTACACTGCATCTGTGCTATTATGTAGGGATAATGCAAATGCCATCCCTATTATCTTGTTTGCATTGTTTTTGAAGGATTGATATCAGCTATTCCTACATTTACTTCCTTTTTTGAAAAGTTTTTTCTTTAGTTGTACATTCATAATTAGCCTGATACTTTTATGCTATTCATGTAAAAATGTAAACTGGTTAAGACTACTTTCCATTTTTGGCAGTTAATGTTACCATTAATTCATCAATAATTTTCAAAAGTGATGAAATGTCACATTTAGTGTGCAGTGTTGTTTTTCATGATTGCTTGTGTGTTTATGTAAGAAAAAGTATTTTGTGTAACTGAATCTGACAGACATCCTGCAGTTTATAAAGGATTTCTATACTGTATATTCAATTAAACAGATCATTTCACTTTCAACGTTTGATGGCTTCATACAGACTTCATAAATTTTATTAATGAAATCCTGGAAAGAATTCAATATCACAATTTTCACAATCATGTGAACATCACATAGTATTAAAACAAGCCAAACTTGAATGTTTAGCACACAGTTTTTTTCTTACTTAATTAAAATAGCTTTACAGCTACTGTTGAAAAATTATTAAAATACAGCAATTACTCTAAACAGTAAAGCACCTCATTATTACTATTTTAACATAAAATTTTCTAATATTTTTTAGAAAAATTATAAAGTAACTTTTCAAAAGATAGCAAAATCCAAATAAAAGTTTTAACAGCATTACTAAACACACACTTACACATTTCCTGGTTCAATATTCTCCTCCTCTAATTCCAAACTGAAGTTCTGTGCAAGTCCACTATCTGCACTGCAGTATTCCATGCTGTTCAAACTGTTAAACATTAAAAATTGTTATCTCTTTTCAACTAGAAAAATGCAGTTACCACACCTGAACATACTTATATAAGATTAAGTAAACAAATATTTTTAAATGCCAACTTTTGACAAGAAATAGTCCAAGTTTCTGTCAGATAATCTAAAAAAAAGGAGTAACAGAAAAGAAGAACCCCAAAGCCAATTAAAAAGATAAGATTATTTATGTATAAGATTATGGACTTAAAATTTTAAACCTTTTTTGAATGAAATATCTGAATCACTTAAATATATAGTTACTTAATAATCTTAAAACTGATCTATTATATTGCAATTTCATTTAAATAAACCTACTTAACCTTTTAACATTTACTTAAGCTTAACATTTTTGCATATGTATATATATATATATATAATTTTGAACGCATATTTTCTTAACAGTGTTCCTTTGATCTTCTTTAGGTATAAACATCAAGCACACAATATTACAAAATGAGTTTTCAAACCACAGCGACTTTAACATATCCACACATTACCTCACAGCTCTGCATGTAAAGAACACAATCCTTTTCAATCTTTTGTTATAAAAAAAGTAATTAAATGACCACAAACAGCCATCTTCACCATACGGGTCTGACTCTAAGTCCGGGTTGTAGCTGAAAGAAAAATAACCTTATTGCTATTGTTGTCATTATATGTAAAAAGGTTTAATTTTTTTCCTACAGTAAGAAATATATTGTGCAAATTTTCTTTTTCTTAACTGTTTCTATCTATATATTAAATATTATCTTATAGTACTGAATGTTTAGTCAGAACCAAACAGCAAAAAAAGAACTTTCGTATAAGTTTCATAAATTTATTTACTGTTTACACAATTCAAATTTATAATGTTAAGCTAACACAGTGCTATTTTGTTCAAAGCTATTTCAACTTTCTTCCTAGTAGTTATAAGTGCCATATTATGCTTAGAAAAAAATTCAAGAAATTGAAAATCAATAATGTTTTCATTCAAGACTCACTGAAATCACCTAAAGATCAAAATTTGTGATTAAACAAAGTTTCACGTATAAAATTAAATAAATCTCTCTTATTGAATAAATTTCAACTTTGAAGTATTTAATAAAAATGTGTAGAAGAATGACTATAAATTTGTTACTTCTATGGTGCAGTTTTGCTCTCTGGAAATCAGTGCACACTGCCATGTACATTAATATATAGTATGTCATTGCTAAAAAGTATGTAAAATCAGTGCACTTAACTGTTTTATAAACAATCTTTATACTTAACAATGTCATGCATTAGTTACTCAGATCATGACCAATGTCTGTGACAATGCTGCAAATACATATTTCTTTATTTCAGGAAACAACTTTAATTGGTGAAAACTGGCAGACAGTGAGGAATAGCTGTCATCCCTTAGTACTGGGGAGGACATCATGACAGACTGAACTGTCACAGTTATCTTTTCATGGCTATGTTACATCATTTGAATAATCAACATGACAGAAATGCTTTACAAGTGGGTAATTCCTAAAATTCCATAAATGCTTCAACTTTATTTGAATTCAAGATATATTAAAGATACAACATATATAGCATGTATGAGCTACAATTATCCAGCAAATGCTAATACAGATGATTCTTGAGAACAACAATACCACATAATAGCAGTAAACAGATAGTTAAAATCTGATGTAAGTCAATTCATTGTTTTCACAAAGAAAACACATTTTTTTTTTACACAGTTAATTTATAAATTTCCTCTTACCTGTAGATATCACACTCAGAAAGACATATCTCATGATCAACAGCAGTCCAAAGTTGGGGACGTAAAGCACTATATGCCTGGTTAGCCACAGTCCACAAACTGTTATCAATGGCAGACATCACCCACTGAAGAAAACAATACCAAATTTAATCAGAAACATCTAGTTGGCAAGAAAAAAAGCTACTATTTAGCAATTAGCTGTAGCACAAAAGTTGTTAGCAATATTAGGTTATCACAAACTCAGACAATACTACCATATTTAAGAGACAATAAATAATAAAAATAGTTAGAAAAGCACTGCTTTCCTATTTGAAAAGAAATCTGATGGCATATTTAGAAGCCAGAATATAGCTGAAGATAAAGAACAGTATACTGTATCACCTGAAATAGTAATTATTGTAAACTATTACTTCCAAAATTTTGAGTAAAAACCTAAAAACTCATTCATCCCAAATAATGAAGGAAACATTTATTCTTGCGAGGTGTTTATTTTTGTATAATTACACATCATTAAATCATAAATGCAATGCATAGATTAAAAATCAAATGATATATGTAGCCTAGATCTATTCTATAATAAGCAGTGGTCATACAAACCTTTATAAAATTGTTTTTTTAATAAACAAATGCCTTCTAAAAATTACATTTTCAACCATAACATCTACTCTTTTACATACTGTATCAAAATAGTTATATTCTGATGTAATATCATTTCAAATTAACTAAGTTAACAGGCAAGCAGTAATGTGTCACAGTACCTGCTCCCTAACACTCGAAACCAAGCATACATATGGTCAGTGGTATATGAGATACCGAATCTCTCTAAAGCTATACTTTCAAGTTTGTGCATTTACAATTTATTTGTTTATCAGTCACATGTTGGAACAATTCTGTGTACACTTTGAGAAATGTTATTTTAGATAATTCACAAGTTTTACCTGTTCGTAAATGTGTTTACAACAATTTTGGAGCCATAGGTGTTTTGTGCAACCAACCAAGAGAAGCAAATAACCATAATCCATTTTACTTACTATGCAAGCACATACTTAGCCAAAGTAAAAACCTTGTATTTTGGATGTTCTTCAAGTAGCCTAAATTTAAAGTCAAACAACATAAAAAATTTGAATAATGGTAATTTATTTTGTAAGATAAAACTTTTGATAATTATAACTTTACCTTATGAAGTTGGAAAATCACAAGATAATAAAATAAAAACTAGAAAGTTTTAGATTTTGTAGTGCAAACCATTCTTAATTACAAACTGCCAGCCATAGGGAAGGCAACAGACTAGCAGCACCCATCCCCAATCCTTGGGCTACTTTTTACTAACAAATAGTGGGATTGACCATCACATTATAATGCTCCTATGGCTGAAAATGTGAGCATGTTCTGTGATGGGTTTTGATTTCATTACCTGCAGATTGCAAGTAAAGCACCCAAATTACCAAGCCAATGCCAGACCAAAACTAGAACATCTATTCAGATAATGCAGAATTATTGTACTAGTAACACTATTTAATTTCTCCATGCTAGCCACAGTGATGTTTGATTTCTATTATGATGGTATGATATGTGCTAGCTTTTTACAAGTTAGTTATGTAACGTTGTAACCAAAGTTTTGGTATTTTTACATGAAAGAAGATAGACTTCAATTATAATAATATAATATTTTGGATTAATCAATGATGACCATATAATCCAAAGTAAGCTAAATAAAAGTCAAAGAAAGTTAAAATAATATCAATACATTCTACAATATAAGTTAAAGAACATAGTGTGTCAAGGTAAGCAGAATTCTCAAACATTTTCCGAAACAAAGAAAAATGTGTGAATGTAAATGTAGAAATTGAACAGTTCCAAATTATCGGAAAGGCTGAACATGAGCAGTGGCTAAGATTAAAAGAAACATTAGCCATAAAGAACTTAGCATCTGAACTAAACAACAAATCCAGCACTGGTGAGCTGATCTTAAGTGTGATAAGAGAGAAAAATTCATGTTTTAAATTACTTTGTGTTATTTAAATATAAGTTTTAATTATTATAGCTTTAACTTACAGAGTTTGAAACCCAATAGTAAATATGTAATAAGAAAACCCAGAGTCTAATTCAATAACATTAGTTTTTATTGTGGTGACACCACTGTTTAAATTCTCAGTTTGGTTGGGGCAAATTAAAAAAAGGTTCAAATCATGTCCAATACCTATTGCTCCCTATTACCATACTTTTATGGTTTTTGGATATACACATCCAGGGCTTTGTTTTTGTTTTTCTTTAAGAGGATGTTTGAAACATTCAAACACTTCATGTTACATTACATAAACACTTGTTATTTTAAACTAATAACTTGTGTTATATCTGCATTTTAGAAACAGTGTTGTTGTTTGTTTGGATTTCATTAAAATTTCTTGCAAATATAATGCACAAATTTGCTCAAACGCAAACTCTTAACAAATCTGATATACAACAGTACTGTATTTTTTGTATCAATCTAAAGTGTCATCACATTCCTCAAAATACAGAGAAAAGTAAAATTAATGTTTAACACTGATGTTTAAGAAATACAAAATTTTGACTACCAACTTTATTCCTGAAATGTAATAATCCTCATAGTAAAAAAGTCATAAATATATGAATAAAATCAATGTCTACTATATGGATAAGAAATATATACGAGATCAAAAGAAACATAATTGAATTGTTAATATGTTCATTTCTTAAAATAATTAGTTCACTAAATGAAGGTTTCGTTTCTTACAAACTTATTGACTCACAGTATAAAATATTAAAAAATTTGCCTGTGCCAACAGAAACTTGTATTAAATCAGTAACATGTTATATGGAGTAACTGAATATCCAAACTTCAAATAAATAAAAAAGATTGGCAAAACTTGCAGATTTTAGCCTAACTTTTCTAAATATGAGAAACTAACTAACTGCCTTATGATTTATAAACCTATACATCATTCATTATGAACTATCAAAAGAAGGCACTAGTAAATGGCCTATCCTGTGTTCAGAAAAAGTCTGAAAATTGCATTTGATGCTGAATGTACCTCACCTGGGCTTTTAGTAGAAAATTGTCATTTTTTAAAATACACATGCTGTAAGAATATGAAAATTAATTATCATTAAAATCTAATTTAACAGTAAATAACATCATACAACTGCAAAATTTAATAAACTAAAATGAACTTTAATCAAACTTGATAGACATACTCTATCTTTACTTCATCTATTATAATTTTAGGTGATAAGAACTTAAGTAGTTGAAAAATTAAATTGTTATACATTTTAAACTTTTCTGATTTTGATACTTATTCCACATAATTTTGTATGGTTAGAAACCACATTTTACAATTATTTACAAATTAATATATGTTTTAGATGCAAGAATATTAATACTAATACGTAAAATTGCACATTAAGTACTGAGTTTACAGATGTTATCAAGTGTTACGAGTTATTTACAGGGGATTTTTCACATACTATGGTAACAATTGGTAAATCAATGAATCATCCTGCCCCTAGATTTACCTGTTTAAAAGTCCTTAACTTTCTGTTGAAATAAGTTGATTTGCTAGCACACACGATACTAAAATGAAACCTTCTGGGTGAATTAAATGAGTTTTTTTTCCCACAAAATTCTCTAATTCCATGATTATAAGGACCTTCGTGTCACAAAATTTTACAATTTTGAAAAAAATTACACCTATAGTTTTGAACTGTATCAGTAAAGCAAGTAAATGCATAATTTTAGCAATAAAGAAATAGGCTACTGGAGTAGTAAAGAAAGTTAAACAGCATATCTTTGGAAATAACCAAAGTGGTGCATCTCAGTTAAAACAGGAATATCCCATAGAACTATAAACAAGATATGGTTTTAGGTCTACAAAAACAACACACAAGTTTGTCCCAAAGCACATAACTCAACAGAAGACAGGCTGTCAAAAGCTGTACAAGCAGTATCTGGCATGTGACAAATCCAAAATATGTCACACTGGAACAAACATGTGCATATTTAAGTGTCTGCAACAAGGTCTGTGTGATTTATAATAATTCTGCCAATGATACATTTCAGAATGATTCACACCATGTTTGATGAATTTTTCCAAGGGGTTTATGATAGCTGCAGGTTACAGACACGACAGAACTGCAAAGGTAAATTATGTAAAGTATCTAGGTAACATATTCACTCCACTATATTGTGAGGAAATATCTTTTTTAAGAATAATGTCACAACCACTCACATATCCAAGTCAATAAGTCAGTTTCTCCATAAGATCCAAGTACATGTAAAAATGGGAATTTGTGTATATCATTCACCATTTAATTCACTAGTTGTATTTCCTATGAACTTCTATGCCTTTTTATTATTCCAATATGCACATTTAATGAACCTTAGAAAGCATATAAAACATTAACCTCAGTGTTTTGCGCCAGTCTTCTGTAATGGAAATGGCACTGCAAAACAACTGTCCATATCCATATCAATTACTAGTGGAAAAGAGGTTCTAAAGATATTCTTGTATTGTAACCCTCTTTTCAGACATATTTCAATGTATACTTACATTGGAACTTGGCTCCTTACTAAATTCATCACTTTTGGCCTGACTGAAATCATAGTCTGGGTGGAAGGAAGCGTTCAAGGTGGCAATCAGATAAAACAATGTCTTGCGACTGATAGTGTCACATAAATGGCCTGATCCCTCTCCATCATCACTTTGGTTATGAATGAAAAAAATTACAACATTTACTTCCATAAAAAATAAAGTATGAAGTTTTGTAGACAAAATCCATTTTTAATTTTGAACAATTAATCCTTAGCCCATTACACAAAAATAATGATGAACATTGAGGAATTGCTTAGTTTACCAAGTAGCAATATCAGTGCTTTTGTAATCCTTTTTCTAGTAGAAAATACAAAGTACATGAAAGCTCAACCAGAATTGTCATTTCTGCAATCTTGCCACCTTAAATATTAACAAAAACAACAACAAAACAATATGCAGTTGCAAGCATTACATACATTCTGAATTAAATTATTAATTTGATCACTTATGAACAGAGCACCAAACAATTATGAACGTGGTATCTTCGTGATACATGTACCCATACATGCAGCATTCATATAATCAAAAACTGTAGCACAGAAAATAAATGTTCCAAACATGTGATATTGTATTTCAGACATATTCTGAAAACATACATGAAGCTAATTCCCTTATTTATACTCCTAACTAACTAGCTTTCAAAAACACAAAATACAAAAAGATAAGGTAATCAGAAACAGAAAACCCTAAATCTGATTGCTTTCTAGAGATGGACCCTTCCTGTTTCAGGAGTAAACAAGTCTCTTGAGGAGGGGGGTCCACCTTCTGAAATCTCTTAGGTTAAGATGTTCTATTTTCCATACTGAAGACAACAATGGCAAGACTGATATGCTTATATTTGTTCCCCTTGCTGTAGAAAAAAAAAAGGTGTAGCATTTTAATACTATTTAAATGTACTTTAAATCTTAATTATAATGTAAACTTGGATGAGTTTCATCACAATGCTTTTTAACCTAATAACATACATGCATATTTTATGAAATGAACAGGTCAATAGCATAATATACAAGTTGAGCTTTGGCTTAAATGGACTACCCCTATATATTTATAGAGTTAAGACATTTCAGCTTCTACATTGAGGTTTCAATAAAAAAAAACTAATACATTATCCCACTCTAGAAACAGGCAAGAGCAGTACATTTAAGCCAAATCTATACTATATTTATACTGCCTAAAATACCAATGATATATAAGTACAGTAACATTAATGGTTATGCATAAAGAACTACATGTATACCCACAAACAGATACAGGTATTTCATTATAAACTATATTATTCAATGCAGATATCTGTTTCAATGTATGTTTTTTGACCAATAGGGTTTTATATCACTCTCAAGACATAAAAAAATCACCAAAAACAAGGTAACACTTCCAGATCTATCACATCTCCTTAGCTCAATGTTTCTCAATCTTTGTTTGCTCAAGATTCCCCTACACAGTCTACAATTTTTGTAGCTCCCCTAACATTTTATAGCCTACTTAAAAGTGGCAGAATATAGGGGTTGGACAAAGTAAACCCTCCATAGCAAAATCCTGGCTAAAATCTTGCAACATCCTGATGTGCTGTGGCATCCCAGTTGAGAAACACTGATTAGTTTATTATAATAGGTACACACAACTAAGAATGCAGATAATACCAACATCAAAACACAAATAACTGCCTATTAATTAGCTAATAATTTGACCTCATCACATTGAATTGTATATTAACTCTTTCCGTATGAATCGCGAAAATTGCCATATGTAGCACAAAACGACTACCAATAAAATCATTAATTTTTATGTTTTGTCATTATAAGCATACTTATAAACATATTACTATTATAACATGCCCTCTTTTAAAAATATATGAATATATGAATTTGTTGAAGTAAACATACGTAATTAGAAGAATCCTATTTATTATGCCATATTTCGAAGTGTTCTATACTACATAGGCCTGGTTTTTTCAAGGCATCCGTTGCAACACTTTCTTGTTTCCTTCCGTTTTGGATAACACACTCTGCATCACTTTTTTGGATGCATATTTAAACTACCAGGCAAAGGTTGAATAGGAACTAAAGCATGAACAGCTTTCTCAGGCTTTCGCTTGCTGGCAATGAGTTTATCTCGAGTAGCAATTCCTTCTGAATTATGCATTTCCACTACTTGCTGTATGACCTTTATGATATATCACTTGAAAGTAAATTTTTCATTTATGGTATTTTTGTAAATGAGAAAACTATTTAGCAGCATACGCACCAGCAAGTATAGGCCTAGCTTCTTGAACCACACATGGGATTTACGACTTGGGTCAAAAGGCTTCAGAAACCGATCTGCTTTATCAACTACTCCCATGTATTCATTATACTTTTTTATGTTGTATGTTTCTTTCTAAAGTTTTTGGTCCCCCCAAAGTAAGTTTTATCCTTTTCAACAAACCAGCTGAATATTTTGTGATTATCACATGTACTGCTCTTCGGTCTTCCCATTCCACTATCACTATCTTTACGAACAAATGCCACGTCATAATACTCCAGATGCTCATTAGCAAACTCTTTTGGGACTCCTATAATTGTGCAAATTGTTATTGTCATTTTTATATTTCGAGTCTCCAAAAGCATGCCAATCGAGTGCTTGCATACCAGTTGTCTATGATTACATGACGCCCCTGTCCAAGAACAGATTCTGATAAATGGACAACTATTTTTTCACTAGATCCAAGTTCATTTACTCCTTCAACATCAGGCAAAGGACATCAGTTGTTGGGATCTTTTCCATAGTACACCCTAAAGTTATAGTTGTATCCACACCAGTTCTTTTCATTGTTGCACATGACAAATAATTTGATGCCAAATCTTGGACATTTAGTTTTTATGAATTGGCAAAAGCCTAGCCATCCTTTCCATAAAACTAATACCTCATCAATTGAAATATGTCCTCCTGCATTCACATTTTTCATTCTCAAAAAGTAACCAAGTGTGTAGAAGGTAAATTTTTTTCTCACATTATTTACTTTGGTAAAGCATAAAAATTTCATAATTAACATGTACCTGTCTCTACTCATTAAGGCAGCACAAAAAAATGAATGCCTGGTTCATATCACTATATTTACATATTCCAGTATAAAAATAAAGAGCAAGAAACATAAATATATCATTTTCAGTGATGTTAAAATTATACGTTTTAATTTATTACTTTAAAATGGAAATATTTAAATAAATTATCAATCTTCACTTTTCTGTATCATATGATACATTTCTGCTCTGAATTCTCCATTTTAATTTTTCTTTCTTCCTTTATATGGGTTTCAGAATGTCCACCAATAAGAAACACCAACTATAGACATTGGTGTTCCAGTAAGTTATAAAATTTTTAAAGATCAGTTAGAAAGCCAAATAAATTATAGCAGTTTTGGGGCATTCTGTTTCAAAATTTTATTTATTATTTCTGTTTTAAAATGCATACTTGAAAGATACAGGAATTACTCTTTGAACAACCAACTTAGTGAGAAAAATTTAGGATTAATGAAGACCAGTTTCTGAGAGCAAATGGCATCAGACCTAAAGTGCTAAATTTCTCTTTTTACATAAATTATTTTTCCTTAATTATATTTCTAACAAAAGTAATGAAAGTGTAAAACTAAAAAACACTGCATTTGCTATATATGTGCATTAGAAGTTTGTTGTTTTTTTAATTAAAAAAGAAGGTTTCACATAAAACCATTATAAATCATCTGCCAAGGTACACTAAATTTGTAATAATCACCAAATCCTTCATTACCACTTATCAGTACTTTTTAGAAGTGAATTTGTGAAAGAACAAATTATAATTTCCTTTAATTATAGAAATATAAGGATCTTACTTGTACACCCTACTGGGACTGTGAGTAGTAAACACGCTTTGAGGAGGAGAAAGAGCTTGCAAGTCATGAGGACTGGTACCTGGATCAGCATTCATGCTTTTAAACAGTCGTTTGTCTCCTCCTGCCATTTTACAGGAGTAACTCTCAATCCTAATTATACAAAGAAAAATAATCAGTAGCTACTTCTGCTATCTCACAATAAATACAAATGACAGAATTAGTTTACATATTTTCAATATTAATGTGTACAAGAATCTTATTATGCCATAGCTACATTACAGTAAAAGGTAATTTGTAATTTTAAATATCAAGAGCATTGAAAATAGATACAAACAAATAAAAATTTCTTACTAGAAAACTAAGGTAATAGGTGATGTGCCCAAGAACGCAGATATGTGTATTTCATAGCCAACATAGGTTGGTTAAATAAATTATTTGAAAATTCTGAACTAAAAAGGTTCATAATATTTCAATTTAAGTTTTGATACAAAAATATGCACATCTTTTACATTGAGTAATTTTCTCTGTCCATTACTTCAATTTCATTACTAAATTTTCTAATCCCTTTCTCATGACACTGATGGTTTATGGTTCATCAAATTTAAGTCTGAATACAATGTGTAATTTACAATTTAATACTGTCTTTTAAAAGAGAAGTTCCATACTGAATTCTTATAATAAATGTCTAATTAGGCTCATTAAAATATGTATTTGTGTAGGGATCTCAGCTGGAAAAGTACAAAATGGAGGTTTAGAAAAATTGATGGCTTGCACATCTGAAATGGTTTTATGAGGTATGCATTTTTTTTTATTTCTATGTCTGTCATTAACTTAAATCTTCTATTCAGCCTCTGAGAAAGATGGTTGAAATGTTATCAACTGATGCACTCCAACTGATTTTTTTGTGTGTAAAACAGATTTCTACATTTTGTTAAAAGCTTGCCACACTCTGTGTAGATACTTTTACTAAATTCAATATTATAATCAAAATTCCTTCTTGAACACAGGATTGGGTCCATTGAACCAACCTCATGCACATTCAGTTAAAATGTCCAATTTAGTTCCAAATTTATAACACTTTCTAATTATGTGGTTATTTTTAGCTAGAGGTTAAAGTAGTTGCAACAAATGGCATGTACCACCCACTCGAAAATCCTTGGTTTTTCATTTTCATATATAGTATCATCTGTGAAATTGGTCTTACTTATATACACGTAATTATTGATGTTCACCATCTCTCTTTGTGACCACCCCTTTAAACATTATACTGTTGCATCAGCGAGTCACATGACCACTGTGGCGCCCTCTAGTTTCTAGAAGTATCTTGTTCTTTCAGGAATGCTCTAGTATTTACTAGTAGGGTAGGCTGGTATATATAAGAGGGGAAAACGTGACGCGGGAAGAGAAGGTAATGTGTGTATAGATAGTGAGTAACTGAACTGCAGTCGGAAGTATTGTTGACGTTCGTTGATTAGCGTTTGTTTTAACGCGATTGTTGAAGTTGAGTGTATCGGTAAAGTTATATTCGGAAAGAATAAATCAGTTTTATTAAGTAAAGAACTTGTGTCGCAAGTTTCTTCGGAACGAAGTTACGGAAAGTTAATTAACAAACGGAGACGTAACAATACATATTGTCAGTGTTTGAACTAGGTGTCATGTTGAATACCTCTTGATGTAAGAGTTATCAAGATTGAGGCAAGTAATTACAGGTATATAAAAAAGGAGATGGAGGCAAAAACAAGTTTTTCCCTTTAGTTTATGCTTTTTGCATATTTTATGGGTTTTGTTTCATTGTGATAATAGGTTCAGCCTATGTGTTGGGTGCATATACTAAAGGGGATCCCATGAGGGTGAATAGTAGTATGAGTTAGTCATATGTGGTTCTTGTGCATGATTGTAAAGCAACTAAAAAAGAAGCTGTTAATAGGAGTAGGAAGCCCATATTTAAGTTGGTAGTGGTTCCCTGTGAAAGAATGAGGCCATATTTCCCATGTAGTGTTAAGTAAAAAGTATAATGAGATGTTAAACTTGCAAGTGATGGAAAGCAGTATTTGTACATGTTTATGCCTGAAGGTATAAGTGTAGAACAGCAAGTCTATTCTAGTTTAGTAATGTTCTCTTGTTAACCACATCTAATGTAAGTTGTGAAAGACATGGATGTTAAAAAGATAAAATGGTTTAAACTAGTAAAAGAAGTGAACAAAGTATTACAAAGAAAAAGATTAGGACAAGTGAACTATTATAAATTAGTGAATACTGTAACTTGTATAAGAAGTATCAGTAAACTGAATGTGTTGATTATTGGTAAAACAAAGATTATACCCTGCAAAAGAAGAAAGTTTGAGGGAAATAGAAATGACACTACTAACAGTGGTAAATAATATTGTATTTGATGCTAATATGGAATTAAGTTGTAACAGATAACAGCAAAACATAAGTTAAAATTGATATTATTAGTATTGTTTACATTGAAATTGATATTAGGAGAGAAGTAGCGAAAGGTTGTAGCAGTGAACAAGGTGATTAATATTCAAAAAGGGAAGGTGGGGAGATGCACTGTTGGGGGATAAATAATTCCATGCTTAAGTTCTGGTAGTTGTGTAATACTGTGTAAAGCTCAATACATTATTCTTACAATATTCTTAATTAAAAATTAAATCCTATTATTTTCAGCACATCAGGAATATCATGCAAGCTGGTTAATCCACCAATAAATTTTACGATTTCATCATATATCCTGTAGTAAGTCATTAAGTCATTATTTCTCAAGTGGCATTAATACCAGTCTACTTTGCATGTATCCTGATTATGTGATTATTTTCTTTGAAATGCATGAAGTCAACCCAGATAACATGGTTTATATACCCGTGTATAAGTTGAACTTTTAGACCATAATTTGTGTTTAATAAGTTCTCACCACAACTTATACATGGGGCATAGCTGCTCAATCCATTCAAACAACACATTAAACATACATCTAGCAACATCAGTATACTGTCTTGAACAGGAAAAAGTGCCTGTGTGTTCAACTATATATATGCATTACACTAGTAAGTGTAAATCATTTAATACAATGGCACATTTTCATCAAAGATAAAATTGAGGGTCCTGCCAGCAGGGTTAAACTGTTCCCCAAAAATTGGTAAAAAAACTAGAAATGTGTACATTTTAGATTAACACAACAAATCTGCTAAATTATGAATCAAGAATGTATTAGCACATGCATATTTAAAGAAGTCTTTCACATATAATCAGCACGAGAAGTAATGTGTGACATATCCTTCTGCACTGTTGTGAAAGGTACATTTGATTCTCGTGTTAAGTAGGAGGTAGATGATAAAAATGAATAGATGGCTTTGTATTTCAAGTAAAAGAAAAAATTGCAATCTTGAATAAAATAAATAGAAATCTACCCAAAGGAACTGACGGAAAGACAACATGCTTTATTAGAATAACTTGTTTTACATTTTCATTACATACATGCACATTGTCACAGGAATAGAATTTGACAGCACATTGGCATGCTAAACTAATGGTTATTTTTAGTTTTTATGATATAAACAAAATACTATTTAATAACTAACCACATTAACCCTCTTGCCACAGGCATCCTTTACTATGCATGTCATGAAGTTTTTAGTGAGTTACATTCAAAATTTAAATAAACTACATTTATGTCATACCAATTTGGATATCATAAAATTGTAGCTAATAATCCATATTGTAATAGTATATAAGGCAATATTAAAAAACTCCTGAATTTCCCCTAGTGTGAAAAATGTGACATTCTTTCTCTAGGCATCCCCTCATCTCTAATTTATTCACCACCTCTCCAATAAGTATAAAATTTAATGTAAATTACTCACCATAATATTGTCATCATTCAGGCAAAGCATAATATTCCTAGCCTTTAATCTTGTTTGGTTACAGAGCCATCAAACAGAAAATTAGGTCCCTCTTGTTACACATTCCCTCTTTCAGGATTAGTCAATAGTTCTCTCTCACATTTAATACTATATTAATTACAACAAATAAGAAGCCAAGGTTTTCATCTATAAAATGATGAATTATGTTGTTTTCTGTACAGAGAATTGTCAATTTCTCTTTCAGTACCTGCTTCATTCTCATGAGAAACATAACGACTAGCTTGGATGAATTTGTAACAGCTCTAACCATATAGTTACAAAGCCAGAAAAATTGGGATAGTTATGGGAGATTGTCTACCTTTTGCATGTTATTATTCTATGTTCTTTGGTACATTATTTAATTAAATAAATTAATTTATGCACTACTACCAAAGTAAGGTTAAGTGTCATCAACAGCAAAAAAAAAAAAGAAGGCCCAGGTAAGTACTATATTTCTTGTTTTTCATGTGTATTCTTTATTTATTATTATAAAAGTAACTTAAACGTAAAAATAGGAAACTCCTTTTGAGACGGATCACAGGTGAAAGGCTATGTCATCTTGTTTGTTTACTCTCATTCAAAATTTT